ARGKTWMCYTTMMMAYGTTTTGCTGTGAAACTTCAAGTGTAAAAAATTGGYCTCACGAAAAYGGGTTGGTCYCGCATGATYCTAAGTCTTGGCTTCTATTTGCAATAATATTATAATTTATTCTACAATTAAGGGTTRGGTTAYGRTGAAAAGAGAAGTTATGATGAAAATCATAAAAATAGATCATCATCTTGGTTCAATCTAATSTGATGTCAACACCAATGAGACGTGATTCTTTTCTAATTTCTAAACACAAGAATGGACCAAATTGTTATAAATTTTTGTTTGACCTGCTGAAGTTAAACAAATCAGAAGTAAAAGGCCCTTTATGTAATTTACTGATTCTTTTCTACATTCAGTACAAATTGCCAGAAGGGAAGAAACTACACGGAAACTAAAACGCTGACTGGCCTGAGAGTGGTTGTCTTCCCGCAAACCCTGAGGAGCTCTGTGAGAAAATGGCGAAGAAGCTCGTCAAATACTCCGTTGTAAGTTCCTTATCTCATCTCTCCCGCCATTTTCACGCACCTGCCWAGCACACACAAGGATTCGTATAGTATATGAGCTGTAAATTGCTTTTATCAACCGAATAGCTATAGATATAGTAAATCCGGTGCGTTTTTCTTTGGTAAACAGGTGGATGCATTTACCGACACGGCGTTTAAAGGAAATCCGGCAGCCGTGTGTTGGTTAGGGGACATAGAGAGAGATGATAAGTGGTTGCAGTTAGTTGCGACTGAGTTCAATATTTCAGAGACTTGTTACTTGACTCCGGTCGTTGATCACGGTTTAGAGAACCCTAGATTTCATCTCAGATGGTTCACCCCCGTCGCTGAGGTTATTACTTTACAGTTTCGATTTCTATATTTATGATATAATCTTCCTTTATATGTTCATTTAGGTTATCATTTGCTCATTTCTATATATGATACGGTCTTCCTTTATATGTTCATTTAGGTTATCATTTGCTCATTTCTATATACGATCTTCCTTTATGTGTTCACAAAATTTATGTGTTTGATTAAATCGTGTTGTTTTGCCTAAATGAGTCTCATTATAATGGAAATTATTTCAAAAAATGGACTCTAATAGTGAACAAGAGATTCTGGCACCTTCGAAAACTAGAATGCACTTGTTTGAATATTGAGATAAAGGAAATATATGAGAGTTACCAACTAATTATCCATGAATTGGCATGCTTGATGCTACATTTTGTTGGGTATGGCATATCTTCGTTTCATCTGTTGGAGTCTGGCATTGCTAGACTTGGACATTTTCTTTTCAATATATGTTGGAACTTGGAATCCCATTTTCTCCTCAAAGGCTCTTTTGGAGAGTAATCTATTGGGTTGCACGTATTCTCACATGGTATCAAAGCCAAGGTCTACCATTTTAGGGACTTGACACTCTGGCGAAATCTGTCCTTGAGTACCCTCTTCTTGACACTAATATGTGCCCGTCTAGCCAACACGAGACTCCTTCATTGGAGGGGGCGTGTTAGAGTCTCACATTCGCTAGACGTGGACTAGTTCTTTATATATGTTGGAATCTCCATTCTCTACTGTCTCCTCAAAGGCTCTTTTGCATAATTTTTTGATGGGATTCCATGTTGGCTAGACATCGACAGTTTCTCTTCAACATATGTTGGAATCCTTTCTCTCCTCAAGGCCTCTTTTCAAGAGTAATCTAATGGGGTTCTGCATGTTCTCCCAGACCATCAAAAGACGATGGCAGATTATTAAATAAATGGTTTCTTGGAGATTGTATTCATTTGATACAGACATATTTATATTAATCTTAATTTGTTCTATTCTGCTGATAGGTTGAACTTTGTGGTCATGCAACATTAGCAGCCTCCCACTTCCTTTTCCAATCCGGCTTGGTGAACTCTAACGCAATTGAATTTTCAACTCTTTCTGGAATTTTGACAGCCCAAAAAGTTCCTGATAGCAGGATTAAGGATTCATCACCATCTGGCAGTGAAAATGGTGAAGCTCAAGACAGCTTCTACATAGAATTGAATTTCCCTGTTGTGCCCGTTTCAGATTTCAATGATCTCAAATTTTCAGCAGTTTCTGAAATACTAAACGGTGTTTCTATTGTTGATGTAAAGAAGATGGCATCTGATGACATCCTTGTATGCTTTGAAATTGCCCTTAGATTCACATATTTGTATAAAGGATTGTGATCAAAGTTGGTGAAAGTTGATTTTGTTTTTCTTGATTTCCTGCAGGTGGTACTTCCATCAGGAAAGGAAGTTGCAGAATTCAAGCCACAGATAGATAAGATCAAAAAATCCCCGGGAAGAGGGATAGTAATTACAGGACTTGTGCAAAATGGGTCAGGGTTTGACTTTTATAGTCGATTCTTCTGTCCAAAATATGGAATTGATGAGGTGATTATATTGAAATAGCATTTTTTCCTCTGCCACTTTTGCTAATCTGGGATTCATTCTTAGAATGTGGTTAGTAGGATAATTGTGACCTTCACCATATTTTTTCTTTTTCTTTTAGGATCCTGTTTGCGGGAGCGCACATTGCGCCTTAGCAGCCTATTGGCACGAGAAGTTGGGGAAATGTGATTTTGTTGCATATCAAGTATCCTCTCTCTCTCTCTGTGCATATATATCCTTCTGTGACCCTCGCACACACACACGACCACGATGCATTCTATTCACAGTACCTATTGCTCGTTGGCACACACTGTAACATGTAGGTTGCTCGCTTGTTTCTTTTTAGTTTTGTTTTGCAAGTCGGGGCTTTTCAACAGAGGCGGATATAGGACACAAAATAATTAACATAATATAAAATAAAACAGAAAATATTTAGAAAAGTACAGTTTAATATAAAAAATGACATACAAATGGTTTTATTTTTGCAGCACCCAATTGGTTTTATCCTTCTTTTTTTCCTTCATTTCTGCTGTTGTTACCAAAAAATTAACAAAAAGAGTCGAGGGAATTCAAACTTCCAACCTTTTTTTGCCACATGCAATGACATTACCGGGTAAACTGCCACCACTTTTTGTTAGGGGAGCACACATCAAGCACCCCCTAGGCTATTACTGTATTCGCCTCTGGTTTTAACAACCTCTCTATCCCAAGACCCTACCTCTATATGGGATTTATTAGGGCGTGTTTGTTAGTAGCTTAATAGGCTTAATGGGACTTGGCTTATTTGGTCAACTATACATGACTCTTTGGTAGTGTCTTAATGATATAGAAAGTGGCTTATTCAGTAAGCTTCTGGGGGGAGCTTTATGTAGAAAGCCAAAATAATTCCAAACCTACCATTCCCAATTAAAAAACAGGCTCCTTCCATCTATGAGAAAACCTTCCCAAATACAGACTTTCCCAATCTATACAGACAATCAATCCACACAAACAACCTTATCCATACAAGACTTAATGGAAAACCAACCAAACAATCCCTACTGTGTCTATTTGGTTCAGTTTGGTATGCTATTCTCTTATGCTTGTTTATGTGTTTTTTCTCTACTCAGGCATCACCTAGAAGTGGCACCTTACATCTCCATCTGGATACGAAGAACCAAAGAGTGCTTCTTCGAGGTAAGGCCACCACAGTCATGGAAGGGTCTATTTTGGTCTAAGATTCATGATATAATCATATTGCATATTGGATCCAATTGAAACTATCTTCTAATTTGCAATAAATATCCCTTCGAAAATTGAAATTTCAAGATGCATGAAATTTCATGATCTTATGAATTTGTTGTTGTATTATGAAACTGAACATTTGCTAGTTAAACCCAATTCATGAACCTTTTGCCTTTTCTTTTCTATAAATCTTAAAATGGTTAGGATTGACCTAAAACCTAGGAGTTTGAATTGCCGGAATCAACTAGTTGGCAACCCCCAGCCGGCCTGTACCAATAGCATAATCAGGTACACGCCGGTCCTTTAGGTGGCTGACTTAAGAGCCCTTAGAGTCTACACGGAGCCCAATCCCCAAAAGAGTTGGGACTCCCACACTGTAGCGATTAGATTCGAACCCTTGTTCGTCTGTGCTAGTATACCACCCAGAGACCATCTATGCTACGCTCTGATGTGTAATTGATATGCTTAAGCCTTGTTTACTTAGAGATCTCCAACAGATTCTCATTTTAGAGATTATAACATCAATTATATTTTTAAATATATTCATCACATCTAATTAAGTATTGTTTCTCTCTTCTAGACATTTAACTTCAAACACTTTTATTGGGGGGAACAATAAAATTAAATTTCTCACTCTTAAGTAATCATATTTAGGGAATTCTTCATATTTGGAGAAAATTTTCTTCTCTCCTACTTTTCCATTTTGGAGAAGGTTATGGAGAACCTGTTGCAGCAAAAAAAATCTAAAATCTCCATTTTCTCCATTTGGGGAAGCCATTGGAGATGCTCTTACTAACTACTAACTTGGTCAACACTGCTGACTCGGTCAACACTGCTGACTCGGTCAACAGTCACAAATCTATTTGAAGATGCATATGTGAATCGACTTTATAGATTATTCATATCATTTTACATGTTGATCTTCAAATAGAATTTTTTTCAATGATTCACGTATGGACCTTCTCTTTTCACCTTCAGCCACATATATCATTCATTGAATCCAAAGAGAGTGAGACCTTAACATTCAGAAATTGCGAACGAAATTACCAGTTACAACAAAGAGGAATTTAATCCATAAAACATGACAACAAAAAAGTAGTTAGTCGATGCTAGTCAATTAATCCTCAAATGGGTATTGCTCATACCTAATAGCACAATCATGAAGCATGGCTCTGGCACCGATCCTATTAATGCAAGCATCTAACATGTCAACTTCGGCTGCTTCCAAACACGTTTTGCAATCCGTACCCGTAAGACTTTGATTACAGAAAGCATGACCGTAGGCAAAAGCATTAGGGTACGGAGAGATATTGTGGTAGTCGTGATGACCTTGTTCAGAAGGGGTAACCCTTTTTAGTTCATCAAGAACGTATGCTAGACTTATGGTAAACGGATCACCTCTTGTGTAAATTCCTGAATTGCAAAGGACGCTGATGACGTTGGTGTCCGGAGCAGTTTGTACGACTTTGAATATAACGAATAACCCGATTAGCGATTGAGCGATGATCGATGKCTTCATCATGAGAAAACCTGTAGTTTATTTGCTGGTTTATCTTCCAGTTGGTTTCAAATGGATATGTTATCTATTGGTTTCTCCAAATTTGACAATGTCACCTTGCCTCCTTTTTGTCCCTTTTGGTTGTCTTATGTGTACAGCTGACTGTACCTTTTGTTCTGATTATTAACATCTTGTGGTTGTGGGACAACATGACTTATTGTCATTTTCCTAAGAAACCCTTTGTAACAATAACTTCCACGATAGTCTTAAGTTGGATCTGAAGTTATTGGGTCAGCCCGTTGCTTTGGCTTTTACTGAATACCTCATCTATCAGACGCTTAGTGTGGACAAAACGGACAATATTTAGTATGGTTAGTCTGAGAGATGTTGAAACTGGTTTGTTGTGAAATTAAGAACTGATTGAGGTATAGAAAGATGTGGTACAATATCTTATCTGTCTCGGGTTTGACTCCAGACAGACACACCATTTAGAAGGTGGGGAAAGACCCATACTGAGAACCGAAATCTCAAGAAAAAAAAATAGAAATTTTCTCTTTATTTACCTTAGGTACCATCTTTTTGGCCTTTTACTCCCAATTGCTGCCGTCTTCGAGAGTTACTRATGATAAATATACTCGTATACAAGTAAAATAAATACCAAGAATAGTATAATGTGCTATTCGATCAACTAAAATAGTAAAAACAACAAGAAAGAAAACCGTTGTGGTTGGGATGGGTTATTCGACTTTGAAGTATTTTTTTAAATTGTATTTCAATACTAGATTTTAAAATTGAAAATTATAAAAGCATATAGAACATTTTTGTGTGGAAAAGACATAATAGAAAACCCAGCCAGGGCTGGGGACCGGATTTGGGACCAATGCGATAGAGCTGGACCCACCTGGCCTAGATTGGTTCTAGGATTTTTTGATCGGGACCAACTGGCCCAGTTTTGAAAGTACCAATTTGAAACCAGCTCGGCTTGTAATCGATTTTTGACCATCTCTACTCCCAGATGCCAGCGGTGTGCATTGAAATTTCAAATAGTAACAAGCAATACTTGCTCTGATACAGCCAGAAAGTTTTGTATATTTAAGGTCAAAAAGTTCTTTTTTAATGCATTCGACAAGTATGTATGCAGACGCTTTCACCATTTTACATGTTATATATATATATATATATATATATATATATATATATATATATATATATATATACTTGGGACTACGTGAGACCAGCCTGTTTTCATGAGACCCGTGAGACTAGCTTTTTACACTTGAAACTTTACAACAAAATGCAGTGAAGGTAACCTTCATAGTGTTTTTGTTGTGAAGTTTCAAGTGTAAAAATGTGGTCTCACGGGTCTCACGAAAACAACATGGTCTCAAGTGAACCCAACCCTATATATATATATATATATATATATGTGATTTACGAGAATGCGAGAACAACCCAATAACCACATATTGTGATAAAAAATAAAATTAAAAGATTTCTAAAACTAAAATTGAAATTTAAAAAGATTCAGAAAATATTAAAATTAAAAGGGTAATAATGGAAATGATATCATAAAATCTTTTAATACGATTACACGATCATGA